ACCACGTCCCGCTCCCGGAAAGGGACCCGACAGCTCCCCAGGAGGCTGATCGCAGCGCATAGACACACAGGGACAAGTAGAACGAGGGTTTTTTTTTTGTTTTTTTTTTTTGTTTGTTTGTTTTTTTTAATAGAGGTATATATAAACACAACAGCATTTACAAAAGTCCCATTTTAGAAATGTGATTATACTTTACAAGACGTGGTCATTCAAAGCATTCTGTAGAGTTGGTGTTGACCAGACACTTCCAGCCAGACATCACCCTGCACCCCCTTTCCCATTCAAGCAGTAGAAAGCGGCTGTTTCAAGAGCAATACACGTCTGCATGTGTTTCCACAGCATTTGGTCCCAATTCTGCAAGGAAACTCCAGACCTTCACCATTCCAGTTTACACAACAGTCAAATTGCTGATGCAGTATTTCTCTGTAAAACTCACTATACCAAATTTGGAATAAAAAGACTCTTGAATGCGTAAACATAAAACTCTTTACAGTTGAAATTTTGAGGCAAATAAGAATTTCACTATTCAAACTCCTGTATATAAAAAGTTTATTAGCTTGCACTTTCTACAGAATCTTTCACAAGGCTTTACAAGTCACCTTTTCAGTGAAGAAAGGTTATTACTACTTTGCACAGCCATGCTCTCCTGGGACCCAGGCTTTCCAAGCAATTAGAACAGATGGCTGCCAGTATGTAACCATGTTTTGGATCACTGCAGGTTCATTATCCTGCCAAATTATATGTTTCCTTGCTAAACTTAGTGATAAATATGTTCCATGATTTGGATGGGTGATGGAGAATACTGAGGAAAAAAAGGAAGATGAAAACTTATTGCTTAATATTCCACACCAGTGAAGATATAGCTGATGTTTCCTTACACCATAATTCCCAAAGTTCTGTGTAATGATTTTGAAAGAGTTCTCTTACCAACTCTCTTCTCTTCCCTTCAAAGTAACATACCCTCCCTAAACTATATCATATACCCCTCACTTTATGCACATTCACAAAGACAGTGGAGTAAAGCAGCAATTTTTAGTCTGAAAACTCATAAACAGACAAAGTCCTTTTCAGGACATTGTTTCACCCTTTAGAAATTAAAAGCTCCTCAACTGCCATCAGTCATCAGAATTTTACAGTTTTCTTGGGGGCAGGAAGGCAAAAGGTTTGCTTTTAATTGTAAGCTCCAAAAAACTCTCAATTATTGAATCTGGTTCCTGTTACTAAGGGGAACCATGTCATTTTCATCCTTTCATTCATTGCTGATTTTCACTTGTGTCAGTTCTCTTGTGTGCCTCTCCCAGAGTGCTTCAGAGGCTGTTCCAAGGCCTTACGCCCTGGCTGTTCTGAACCTTCTTCTATCCCCAGCCACATCAAATTACAATAAAATAAATTTTAATTTATAATACAAAAATTATTATTGTCATTTTTTTAAACCTTCCCAGGAAGCAGTCCAGCAGAGTTACTTTTTCACCAAATGTCAATTGTTGTCCTTCATCCATTGCTCAACCCATTGCATAATCTGATCCAAATTTCTCTCCAGGTCTTCTGGAGTGTTGCTGGGTAACTGATGTACAATTTCCTCTCTATATGACAACATAGCTTCCTCATAAAGTGTCTGAAAAATTTCACACTGAATGTTGTCTTGCAGCTTCTTCCCTTTGTAGCCCCTAGAAAACAAGAACAATACCAAGACAAAGTCTTAAGTATGCAAGGAACTATAAAGTATTTTAGAGAAAATCAGTCATTTATACCTTAGAAAAATCTCTGATGAAGTCACGCAACAGTACTTTACCCCTTATTTACTCCAGTGGCATACCTGCTTTCAAGTCTGTCATACAGAACTGAATTTTCTGTACGAAGTACAAATACTATATGAAACCACCGTTCAGGGAAAAAATCACAGCCATGATAATCAACAATAACTCCACCCTCACTCATTTTATCTTCTAATTCATCAATTACCTACAAAAGAAACAAAGATAGGCAAGTTTATCTGGAATTACAGAAAGTCAAATGAAAAAATAGTTGGTTTTGAAGTTGGAATTACCCTGTCTTCATCCAAAATTGGACAATCATATTCCTCATCAAAACCTTCATACAGTTCTCCTGCAGCAAAAATAATTTGTGGAAGTTTGTGAAGTAACAGCAATTACTAAAATAATTTCTATTGTATGTATGTTTAAGAAGGATGCAAACAAAAGAGAGTGTTCAGAGCAAGGGCCACTTTGTTTAGAAATCCATATAAGCCTAAGTTTTTTATTTATTACTGTCCTAGTTGCAGCTGAGACAGTCTCACACTAGCTACTGTGAAGAACATTAGCTCTGTCTCAGCTGTAACCAGGACTATTACTTGAGACAAAATATGCTTCAGTTATATAAATGCTTTTTTCATTCATGCCACCAAAAATATTACTGTTAAAGTGAATTCACTGCCTTTTCATTTAACGTAGAATACATGCACCAGAAGCACATTGTTACACAAAGCAAAAATACCTAAAGTACTCTGAGGGACTCCTTTGTTCATATGGCCTACCTTCTTTTGCCATGTCACCCACGTTAATATAGGTCATCCCAGCTCGTGATGCAAGTTCTTTTCCAAGTGTGGTTTTCCCAACGCCTGGAGTACCTGAAAACAAAAGCCCATATAAAACTGTAAGAGAACAGCATGCAAGACCTCTTCACCTAACCTTCTAAGAAGTCAAAAGAGAAACTTTTGTCAGGCAATGTTAGCAAGTTCATACAAGGAAAATGAGGCAAAAACTTGCATGACAAAGAAAAACAAATAAGAACAACGTCTAGAGATAAAAACAAACAAACCAAAACAAACAAAAAAACCCCCTAAAAAACTAGGAACAAACCCCTCACTTTGCGCAGAAGTGTTATTCTAACCGGGAGGATGCAAAACTAAACCCGGCTTCATTTAAGAGTCCTAACTAATACGGAAAAGCCCCAAGTTTGTATGCAGAACAGCCCAGCACCGCCTCCGCAGGGACCCCACACCTCAAACCACCCCGGGCTGTCAGCAGGGCTGAGGCTTCCCCCGCAGGCCCG